TTCAATGGTTTCATAGCATCAGGATCCAGGATTCTGGTTTATCACAGGTCCCTTTTCTTTATCCTTCAGCTACTTAGCTGTTAAGAGTTTAGAAAAGAAGATGGTATTGGAATTATGCCATGCAATTTGGAAAGAAAGCCTCAGGTAACAGGAAAAAAATTGTTTTGCTTTGTGTCTCCTCCTTTTTCTAGCTATCCCCTCTTGACTGACTAGTGATAGGGCAGAGCTGAGGCAAGATAGTATTTGGGTATCCCTAGGTTCCTCTAGCATGATTGTCACTTCTATATCAATCACCTAAGAACATATCTACATTTCTTAAACAATGTAAGGATAACCCTGGAGATTCTGACTGTTGACTGAAAAATGTAAGACCTACAAGGTCAAAGCAATGTGAAAATCAAGAAGAAACCTCACAAATGTAAATGACAAAGTATGATACACAGTGTACTCTGTGCTTGGAGTTTTTCCTTTGTTTTCTTGTTCACTTTATATTTGAAAATTAATTTTCTCATTTCATTATGTATTAAAACAAACCCTTTATATACATGTGACCATGTCTGTTTGAGTTTTTTAATGATCCACACCTACTGCTGCCTGTTTATACGGCACTTTCCACTACAAATCTCAAAATGAAAATAACACTAATCGTTTAGTAGCCACCCTTGTAGGTCAAGACTAAGCTAGAGCAAGAACTAAAAAACTTCTAGCTGGTATTTGTGTATCCATGTCCCCTTGCCAAAGGACTTGCCATCACTCTCTAAGGAAAAAAGCTCTAAAACCTCAAACCACATCAGATTACCAGGCCCTATGTAGTTCAATGCCCTCCCTAAGCCCGACTCCTCTACTCTTAACCTTCTTATCTACAGCAAGAGATACAAGTACTGCCAAGAAAAATTCAACAAACTGGATCTCAAAGACTGCCTGGAAGCATTTACCCTAAAAAAGAAGCACATGAAAGTTTATTCCAAAGAAAAATACTCTAAAAATGTATCTGCAAATAACAACCACTTTCAAAAGACAGTACATTTGGGAAAAACCAATTGCTTTCATGTAACAATCACTTCTAGGGAGTTAAGAGAATTATCCTCTTTATCACACATACTTTCATATGTCAATATTCATGAAAGACTAGGAAAGACTAGGTACCCTCTGGTTCTCGCAGAAGCAGTGGGTCACCCTGTGCAAAGAACTGGGAGTGACCCACTCAGAGATGCCCATGACAATAGGACTAACAGAGATAGTAGGAGAAGTTTTAAGGGACAAGGAACAGAAAATGGTTCTTCACTTCTCTTTTTAATAAAGAGGCAGGAATATATGTATCAGGAACAATTCATTGTACACCAGTATTTTTTTTTTTTTTTTGGAGACAGAGTCTCACTTTGTCACCCTCGGTAGAGTGCTGTGGCATCACATCTCACAGCAACCTCAAACTCTTGGGCTTAAGCGATTCTCTTGCCTCAGCCTCCCGAGTAGCTGGGATTACAGGTGTACACCAGTATTTTTGCATGTGTTGGTTTGCTAGACAAAAATACAGAACACCCAGTTTAATTGGAATTAAACAACTAATATTTAATATATGTGTCCCATGTCATATTTGTAACACACTTAAGCTAAAAATTTATTCATTGTGCATCTGAAATTCAATTTAACTGGGTGTTCCATGTTTTATTTGTGAAGTCTGTAGCCCTGTTTAATGCATCTTTCAAAAATTATCTGTTACATGCCGTTGGCTCTCGATTTTTTATTATCAGCCCAAATGTGTCCCCTGAATTCCAGACCATAGACCTAATAGCTTGCTTGACATCTCCATTTCAGTGTCTAATCGGCATTTTAAACTCAACATATCCAAAATTGAGTTCCATCTGCCACCATCCCTTTCCTATTCCCAGATCAGCTTCTTCATCAGCCTGCCCTATCCCAGTGAGGGGTACACTCTTCCATCGCTTGGGTAAAAAAATTTAGTGTCATCCTTAACTCCTCACTTCATCTCACACCTCAAAATCCTTTATTTTTTGTATAAGTTTAGTAATTGAGAGAAAATCTCTATTTTATATTCCTGTAACTAGCTAACAGGTTTAGGCAGTGCAATCCAAGAAGTAAGTCACCAAGGGCTTCTGCACAGAGTTTCTCCTGGGCCACAGATGCCTTTTCCTTCGAAGCAGAGAGCCTCTTGGCATGTCAATTAACAAACAAATCACTGTGCTTAAAGAAGGGCAAAGGTGGCAGAAATCTTTTGCACTCATAGACTTAGCCCCAGGCTTTCGCTTTCACTTCCAGAAGTACTGCTGAGAACCCTTACTGGGAACTGCTAACTGTTGTTGGGGGGAGGCGGATTCCCACTACCTGACACTCCCACCCCCAACCTGGTTATTACTTCTCTTTTCACTTTTAGAGTAAGAGCTTATAGCTTTCTAGAGTGTCAGTAATGCTGTCTGGATCAAAAGACAATGTTCGTGAAATTGGAAGAGAATGCAGTGTGTAAGTCTACACAACATCCAAATCACAGCATCAAAGTGGAGGACTCTCAGGCATTTTCTGTCAATTATTTGTTTAGTACACATGATAAATGTTGTGAGACTGAGTCAAGTCTTTTTATCAAACATCAAGGAATCTAGAACATAGACAATCACAGCAACTCAGAGCTGCCTCATTTAAAAAAAAAAAAAAAAAAAGTCCTGTCCAGACTAGGACATAGCTTTCCTAAGTTTCCAACAGCTACTGGGATGTGCAAAAAGGAACCTGGGTCCCTTGTCTACTGTCAATGTATGACATCTCTAAGGTGACATTAAAAAACTAGATGGGAACAGCCAATGCAAAAACGGTCTATTGGCTTCTCATGTTTTCAGATATTTAAGATCCTAGGCCAACTGGAAGGTGGTGTTTTCTGCCATGGAGTTTCGCTATGTCATCATGTCAAAAATGACTTTTCATATAACTTTCCAACAACAGCAAGCACCTGTTCATAAATGGCTAGTATAATTAACAAGGGGATTTGCAAAAATGACCAGGTCAAAAAATGAGTAACCATGTGAGAAAACCAACTAAAAAAAAAAAAAAAAAAAAAAAAGAAGAACAAAACTACCTTGAATCTCCACTAAATAGCCAAAGATTTGCAAAAACTTAAGAATAAACAATGCAAATACTAATAGACATTGTTTATGCGTGGCACAAAAAGGAGTAAAAGTTTTTTAAGGAGCTTTAAAAATGCTTGCATTTAACATAGGAAAGTTTGTAGAAAAAGTTAGACTTGAGTCAATATGTCTCTACTATATAAACACGTTACTCCATATCATGCATTTTTCTTAGACTTCAGAATTTAAGGAAACAATCAAATTTGTATGGATGATTTTTTTTTTGCATATTTCAATGTCAAAATTTTCTATGCCTTTTCAAGGACATAATGAGGCATGTTTTCTTATGTTGCTATCCTCAGGGTCTCTGAAATTTTCTAAAGATAGTGTCACATAACAAAATATACCTTTCAAGCTAGATTTTAAAATAATTTAGTCTGTTAAAATGTCTGCAGCCAAATTATCAGCTCCCCCAAATAAAAAGTGTTGTACAAAAAGCTTACAGAAGCATTTTCACAGGTGCCCAGTCAAAACTGTGATCTCTGGAAGACTTTTTTTTTTTTTTTTTTTTTTTTGGGTGTTAAACTGTCAAGAGCACTTTCAGTATCCCAAATTAACAGAGTTCTGAATAACTTTTTTATAAAGACCTTCCCATAGTTGGCTTTCTTCCCATTGACGAATTTATTAACTCTAAAGGCAAATATTCCATTTTATCCCATCATCTTTCTTGAGAGTCTTGGGTTAACTGCCTTTCTAAAAAATAACTGGAATGCTTTCATCTTCAGGATTTATCAATTATTCCTTTCCAATATTCAGATTTTTGCTTGAATAACGGATTTGGTAATTCTCTCAGGCCATCTGAAATCTGTACATGACAGCAATCATACTATTCAAAACATTCTCTTGCACATGTCACTAAGAGGAAAACTACCCACCCTGAGTATAGCTATTAATGTCAAACAGATTGTCATCTTGGAAAACAAAACTGCATCAAAATTTAGCTTCGGACTAAGTACAACTCTACAGAAAAACACCAGGTTTTTATATGCAAATGTCTTCAACGTCTGATTGAAATGTTTAAAGAATGAGTTAGTAAGGAATCTGCTCTACATAATCCAGGACGATGTAATGAAAATAGTTAGTTAAAGGGTTTTTTAGTCCTAGCACATTATGATTTTACCAAGAATGCATGTGCCCCAGTTTCTAGAAAACATTGTAAAGAAACGTTTGGTTTCTAGCTTAGGTCGAGGGCTCTATTTAGCCTATCAAGGCTCAGACCTGTTATAAATGCTGGGGCGCTTGCCAGAATTTTTTTTTCCCTGGAACTCTGAGTAAAGATCGTACCTCGAAAGCAATGTGCGCTGCAAACCACACAGATTTAAGCTCCCACTCTTGCCTCCCTACCTTGGCACCAGTGGCTTTTGGTGCATCCCTGGACTCCTAAAACTCAAAACTAAGTCGTCACCTCCCTCCACCACCATGCCATCATCCTTGTGCAGCTCTTAGGGGCTCAGCAAAGAAAGTGCCCAAAGCGCACCTGCAGACCTCCAGTCCCTGCAGGGTGAACTCCTGGTGCCACCCATCTCCCAGCTGGGCGCGCACCCACAAACGCTCTCCTACTCTCTCTGCTGCAAACTGCCCACAAATTAGTCACCCATCTCACCCCCACTACTTATACCCCCACGTCCCTGCAGCTTTATCCCGCCTCCTGGTGGCTTTGTCCCCAACACACCTGTCTACCCTATAGCTGCCAGACGTCAGGTGCCCACGCTGAGCCCTATCCCGCGTCCCTTGGATTCGACTGGTGCTTCCCCTCCACCCAGCAGGTCAACCTGCACGGACCGCCTGCTTTCCCCGCTCCCGTGCCCACCCACAGACTACCCCCAACTTCCACCCTCGCGGGCCCCGGGGAAAAATCACCCGCCGTACCTGCCGAGAGCTCGGCGGCCGCGGCGAGCAGCAGGAGAGCCTGGCGGAGCACGGAGCGGAGTGCCCGGGTCATGGCCACCAGGCGGCCACGCCGGGGCTGCGAGGCCCCAGAGCGGAGCGCGGCAGCCGGGGCAGCACGGGTCGCTTCGAAGTTCCCGGGCCGCGGGAGGGGAGCGCAGCCCGACACCCTTTTGAAGTGTGCAGTTGGCTCTAGGCGGCGCGGGCGCCCCCCTCCCCTGCCTCCCCCATCCCACGCCCCCCGCGGCTGGCGGCGCGCTGCGCTCCTGCCACTGGCCCCAGCGGCGGGCTGGGGGGGCGGGGGGGCCACAGAGCCCGCCCCTGCCGCGCCTCCGCCCCCTGCGCCCTCCCGCGCCGCCCCGGCCTGGAGCAGCCGACTGGCGGGCAAAGGCGGCCGGGCGTCTGGGCGCTGAGCTCGCCCAGAGCTGGAGAGAGGAAAGAGCGAGCGGTGGGCGAGCAGTGCGGAGCCCCTGAGACGAGATACCCCGGAAGGGGAGTCGGGACGGGAAGGGGAGTCGGGACGGAAGGGACTTTGGGAAAACTTAAACCACGCAGCAATTGCTTCCTAACGATCCGCTCTCTAGTCTCCTGAGGCAGATCCCCCCTTCCAATTCTCTTGATTTTCACTTATTGTCCAGGGTCCTTCAATCTAATTAGACTTCGTCGCGAGTAACCCCCCAGTATTCCCACATGCTTGTCCCACCACCGCACAGGGCTGTGCGCGCGTCTGTGGAAGGGCGCCCTCTCTGTCCGTCCCTGGAAATAACGAGTTGCCCCACTGCCTTCAGACGTAGGTAGTTTGGGCTTAACAAACTTCATCTTTTACCCGATGCCTTCTAGGGACCCTCCCCTCTAAGAATGGCGACCAAAGCTGGACCACCTGCGCCAGGTGATGTGGCCGTCTACAAAGTGTAATCCAGGTTGGTGGTAAAGGACCTGACCTACGGAAGGCATCCCAGCAGCTACAATTTCAGAAATTGAAAAACTGGGGGTGGGGAGGAGGCGATTCAAACACATGGATTAAGGAGAAAGAAAGAATTGTTTTAAATAATATACTAGAAGCTTGACTGAGTGTTGGTAAAATCCCTGACGGCTTACTATCAAATGGGTGTGCTTCCTGTACGGTTAGTGACCAAAAACGGAAAAGCAATATTAGCAATGAATGAAGATTAGTCTAAATTCAATTCATCTAGATAGCCTGTACAATAATGTGAATAGGATTATTTTAACCTGAACAAAAAGAACAACAAAATAACCCAGAAAACAATACAGGTGTTACTGCTGCTATTAGGGGTCCCTTGAAAAGTGACATCGTCATATAAATTAATTGCTTTGAAGAGATTACTTTCCTATTCACCTAGTTCAGCGCTAAAATAATTAGCTGCGTGTTCTTTCTGAGTTCTGTGAAAGACCTATAGTGAAATAATGTATATAATTGATTTTACAGTCCCAAAGTGGGAGAGGGATCTTTCCCACCTCCGCCTTGGATGATTCAAAATATTGGTATGCATAAAACACTTTATTCTGTTTTTATCCTGGATCTAAACAAACAAACCAACCAAAAACTGGAGATTTGAGACTAGTCTAAGCACTCTGGACACTCACAAAACAGATGCTTAAAAAAATAAATAAAGAGGCTAGAAAATTCCAGGACACATTATGTTCTGACTGGCTTGGCTTGCTCATTTTTTAGTAGCTGTACCCTAGATTGTGATCTGCCATTGGATCATGAGGCTCAGAGCCTAAAGAGCAGGATTTCATGTGCTTTCTGGGGCTGGTTCCTCAAAAGTAAATGGAACTTGATTTCTCTTATTTGCAGAACTATGACCAGGATGGAAAAGAGTAGTATACACAAGAGCACTCTTAATCCATAGGCATTACACTGTCAGGTATTTACTCCCACGTATTTATTTTGTCTGGAAGCAACATCTGCTGCAGCTTGGAAGTTTCTTGTGTTCTAAAAAAGCAGGATAACCCTAAGTCTGATGTTGAATAATTTCAATATTTCAATATTTTTAAAAACAAACGCAGTGTTTTCCAGTGTCTGGTGGTGCATTGTCAGTTTGGTATCCGCTGAGCTTCAGTGAATACTGAGCACTCAAAATATGTCCTGATCCAATTGACGTGTGCTGTAAAGAAAATACGTGCTAGATTTCAAAGACTTAGAATAAGAATCATTACTGATAATGTATTATCAATAATTTTATGTTGCTTATGTGTTGAAATGATAGTATTTTAGACATGTTGGGTTAAATAAAATATATTATTAAAATTAATTTCTCCTATTCTTTTTTGCTTTTTAATGTGACTACTGGAAATTTTTAAATAATTAGCTCACATTATATGTCTATTGGATAGTACTGTTGTAAAGAATCCTTGTCATATGGCAAGGATCTCTAGCTTGTCTTAAGAACAGTATAAAAAACCAAGAGTTGTTAGATGACTTGTCAGTCAATACATAGCCAGCCAATAAAGGAATCGGAATCATTTGAATTCTTGGTACAGAGTCTATGAACACCCTGAACACACCTGATCTTACCTGAATTCCATGTGCAGAGTTCCATGATACAACAAAAAAGGTAACTGTAACAAAAATCTAAGCACTTTATTTGGAAGAGAATTTAAAGAAGATCTTCAAATACCATTTTCCCCCTCCTCTTCTGTGTGTTCCAATGTCAATACTATAAAAGCTTTGAAGTAAGGTGTTACCCCCTCAATATTTTGAATGCTAATAGCTGGAAAAGTATAGTCTTAGACAATTATAAATATTTCTAGTATGCTTTCCTCTTTAATATCACCCTCATGGAAACTAAGAAAAGACCTTTATCCTTACAAATGTATCCCAACTTATATTTTTTATTTCCACACACTCAAACACACACCTGTGGAAATTAACCCAATCTCAATCCAATGTCTTTTTAAATAAATTATTATTAAGAAAATACTCTTTGGAACATATTTCGCACTCTTGATTTATTTAATGTAAACAATAGAAATGCATCATTCAAAATGTGACCTAACAAGTCTTTCTTTCAAATCTTGTATATAACAGAAAAAAATTACATGCAAGATTTTTTTTTATTTCACTAGAAAGAAATTTATGTGCGAACATGTTTCTCAAGATTTCACATTCACCCCCACCCTTAATCATCTATTTGTACATATTCATTGCCATAGCAACATTACATCATCACATTAGATTCTTATAACCGAAGAATACAACAACAACAAATAATTGAGGGGTTCATAACCCATTAGCAAAACAGACTTTATGTGAATAAATCTTATATAAGCAGGAGAAGCAGGTCTAGGAACTTTAAATTGTAAAGATTTGATACATTTGCAGAATAACATTCCACATTAATAAGGGAGATAAATGTGTGTAGTAACTAAACTTTGAAAAAGACTATCTGTTGCTTTTGGTTGTTTGGGATTTTTTCTTATACAGGTTTCTTTTGTTATTATCCTTTCCAGAACCTCCAATGCCATGCATCTTAATTTCTCATTGCATCTTGGAACATGAATTTATCATGGAATGAGCATATGGTGAGGAGGCATGCTACAATAACTGGCTATGCACTATCAAGGTCTAATCTTTTCTCATTTTACTGCATTTTTCCTTCTCCAAACTAACATTGCCCCTAAAAAAGTGTGTGACACTCATCTCCCCTCATCTCATCTCTTAATCCCAGACATCTCTGCATTGGGAAATCTTGGTTTTCTCTTCTAATCTTTTTTTTTTTAATTATTAATTTCCATTCCATGATAATACTCAAGTTTGGAGGCCTTTACTGAGATTCCATAACATGCATCCTCAATGTGTCTACCTCATTGGGACAGCTGAAGTTTCATGAAGATGAAAAGTAATGACCCCTCTGTGAACATGGATAATGGGGAGATATCAAACAGTTTAGCTCAAGGGTCACTGCTTACATTATATGTCTATTGGACAGTACTGTTGCAAAGAATCTTTGTCAAATGTCAAGGCTCTTTAGCTTATTTTCAGTACATTATCTGTTTTCACAGCTTTCCAAGATGGCTATACTCATTCACTAAGTGTCATATCCTTTTAATGCTATTGATACAGTCTTTTCACATAACTCAAATTTTGTCTGTTTTCCCTTCCACTGCCAGTGTCACAATGCTGAGTTGATTAGCTGCATTCAATACAGGCCCCTCAGTGTCAGGTCAGACACTGAGTTCCAAGTAAGCAAGCTACCATGACTTGGATGATTTCCTTAGAATGCGCTCATAATTATACTCTACCAGAGTGAAGGCGCAAGAAAGAAAGAGAATGTGAGATGACTCAGGAAAAATCCATCCTTTCCTGGGAAAATGGCTTAAATCGCTTCTCGGCCTTTTGGCTAAGATCAAGTGTGGAAAATGGCTTAAAAAAAGACATAATTGTTTAAGAAACCTAGACAAAAACAACGTTAGGGTTCTGATAATCTTAACTCAAGTAAAAGACTACTTTAAAGCTGGTATGTCAAAGGTAATTACCACTAGCTAATTGTGGCTGTTAAGTACTTGAAATGTGACTAGTCTGATTTAATGTGTGTTGAAGGGTAAAATAGACACTGGATTTCAATGATTTAATATCAAAAAAAAAGAATTCCGAATATCTCATTAATCATTTTTATATTAATTACCTGTTGGAATGATATTTTTGATATATTGGGTTAAATAAAATATATTATTAAAATTAAGTTCACCCTTTTACTTTCTAATATAGCTACTCAAGCTATTAGATTATATGTGTGGCTGTCATATTTCTGCTGGGTAATGCATCAACCAATGAATCTTTATCAGTTATTAAGGATCGTTTTGTTCTGTGCTTGAACTGTAGCAGCAACAAGACCCTTCTTCTAGCCACATTGCTCCAATTCCAGCTATCTTTTACTTTTTCCCCTTCTTCAACAGTAACCTATATTCAGTCAATAATCAAGTTACATTTAGTTTTTCTTTTGTGTCATCCACTATCTTCCTAGCTGTTATTTTCATAGTCCAAGCTCCAGTAATTTCTTAGTTGAGTCATAATTATGAACTAAATTGCATCTGTAATTTCATGCTATTCCTGTCTTAATGTATCTTCAAGGCCACCATCAGCACATCTTTCTGTTAGCTTGACTCTGATTACATTCTTCCCTGCCCTCAAATCTTTAGTGACGGAATCGAGGTGAAATTCTCCAACACTCCTGTTCTCAAACTTTCTGATAACATGACCCTGTTACACTCTTCAAAATTTTAAGGACCCCAAAAAGCTTATGTTCAAATGGATTATGCTTG